GTCTCACAAGCGCAGAGTAGAGGGGAGAATCCCACTGATCATGTTTGTGGCCTCCTCTAAGGACGACTCTTGTCCTTTACAAAGAAAAAGTTTTAATAACTTTTGGTTCGCTTCTTAAGACTAATTCTTTTAATAAGTGAAACAGGCTGTGCTCTGTTCTCTCTCATCCTGCACACCCTTAGGTGAGGCAATGGCTTTTTCATATTTGAATGATGCTGATGATCATATGTGTTGTCTTAGAAATTTATTTGACTAAGTATCAGTTTAATAACTGAAAGGAAGGTCACTGACAATTTTCCCTAACCTTCACTCTGAAGGAATGTGAGTGATGTGATTGAAGATTTCTCGGTTCAGGCATTATATAACTATATCCTTAACAGAGTACATTGTATCATCTCTCTGTATGCTACATGGAAGTGCTGCCAACTGGTCTCAGCTTCTTGGACGTACACTCCAAAGATAAATATCATTGCCTCATGTCAATGATCAGTACACACTGAGTGCAAGAGCTATGTTTACTCTTAGAAATATTTAGCTCTAAAGTAATGGGAAAACAACCCAAAAAATCCAACATCTGAGAAATATCCTACAGATGTTCCCAATGGACAATAGCAACAGCAATTCCCAGTGCCCAGTGTTCCGCCAAAGGCAGGTGGACCAAAGAGTGTATTCATAGACTTTGGTGACAATCATCTTTTTCTGACAGTGTTTAGCAGTGAGAAATGAAAGCATAAAGGCTGTCAGCAGAAGAAAACTACCTGATGCTTGCTATTTATGAACAGTTACAGACCAATGCTGCAAGGGCTAAGAGCAGATTTTCCCTTCAAAACTTTTCCAGGACAATTCATATTAAATAGTTCCTTTAATTATGCCATCAATGGAAAGAAGTAGGGCAAGGGTTTTGCCTCTCAATGTCCATTTCCTCTTCTTTTTAATTCTAAGGAAGAAACTGGAATAAGGAGTTGCCTGTGCAGGCAGTGTAGATACCTACTTTTCATTCATATACTTTGTGCACCAAAGGGTTTTCCCATGTATAAAACAGGAATATTAACATAATGGCAGTTACTGGCACAGAATAAATCAGTGCCTACTTTACATTACAGATATAAGCAACTAGAGTGGTGGTAATCAAAACAACACCAGACTTCTTTGGCAGTTAACATGAGTGTGTCCAGGGGCAAACTCTTCTAGAAAGCATTCCTGGTTTGTAGACTGCAAGTCACCTGCACCCTGACCCTTCTTTTCAAATGTATATTTTTAATATTTATTTTTCACTTTTACAATTACTGGGATAGTAGAAAACTGTGAACTGATTATCACTTTTGAGAAAATCAGACAAGTTTTATTGAGGTCATAATAAACTTTTTGAGATGAAGCTGTCTTCTCCCTACCTTTTAGGTTGGCAAACTGATTAAAGAAGCAGCAGGGAAAAGCAATCTGAAGAGAGTTACATTGGAACTTGGAGGAAAAAGTCCTAACATAATATTTGCAGACGCAGACTGTTAGTAGCATTTTATTATATAAACCTACTACTTTTGCAAGTGCCATGTTCTTTTTTATTTCTCTGTCAGTAAATTATTTGTACCTGTTTAATGAAGGAGTAATTTTTAATGTTTTCTAGTCACATTGTAGCTTTAAGTCAGATTGCCACCAAAATTTGGTGGCTCCTGAATGGTTACAAACCTCTGACAACGTGATTACTTCTCCTGCAATTAAGGATTACCCTAGCGCAACATGAACGCAGAACCAAAAGCAGCTAGATGGATCTTATACAGGTTTATTAACTTTCTAGCTGAATACTCCTCTTCGTACTGCTGTCAGAGAAAATGATGTTGAACCTACATTTCACATAAAACAGCTGAATGTGTGTTTATCTAGGTATACGATGTTACTCTTGGTAAGAGTAGTTTTGGACATAAGTAAATGGATGAATTTAAAGGGCCATAAAAATAAACTGATAAAAAGGGAAAGGAAATGGAGTGATAAAGGCTTGTAAAGAATTTATGACATGATCATTCATTTATGATCTGATGAATTCTGTATTTCTTTGCAGTGGACAACGCTGTGGAATTTGCACATATTGGTCTATTCTACCACCAGGGACAATGTTGTATAGCAGGATCTAGAATTTTTGTGGAGGAGCCTATTTATGACGAGTTTGTTCGCCGGAGCATTGAACGAGCAAAGAAGTACATTCTTGGGGATCCTTTGTTGCCTGGTGTACAGCAAGGCCCTCAGGTAAGTAATGTAGTTTCCTACATAACTGTGACATCACAGTTTAATTTACTTCTAAACCTATCATATTAATATCAAAGTTAGGTACAGTTGTCCAGTTGTTAGTCTGGAGAACCAGGAGGAAGAAATTGGAGTGATGGTTGTTTGTGCCACTATCATAGGCCTAAGGCTGATATTTCTTTCTCTTTTATTGTTCCTTTTATTATGGATTAGGAACAACTATATAGAACTGAAGTGCTTTGAGAAAGCTCCAGTGCACAGCTGTAAAAGTGCAAGTAAAACCACCTGTGTCAGAGATTGCTAACATTATATTCAAATAGTGACACTGTGAGTATCTTGAGGAAACAGAATTTAATAGTGTTTTTTCCCCATTTTCAAGGTAACAGTGTTTCATTATGCTGCTCTCAGTTTTACAATATTGCATGATTAAAATGCATAATTTTATACTTTTTCCTGCCTATGTTAAAAGGTTATGCAAACAGCTTTGCCATTAAATGAATCCTAAAATGTAACATTAAAAACATTGCTATCACAATGTTGTGATTTCAGGAGATCACATCAGAGCATTCCTAAATTAGTTTTTGTCTAGAGTCTTGTCTAGAGTCTTATTCCCATATCAGCTTCTATTACAGGATATATACCTTCTTAGCAGAGCTATTATGCACATATTTGATTGTCACAGAAAAATGGAATCGATTAGAGACAAAAAAAGGCTGGAGAAAAAGCAACTCCCACACATTTTATAATGTAACATTCCTGGTTCTTCATTAGTTATAACAGTCATTTTATGTGATCAAAGATATCAAGTAAACTGGAAAACTGCATTCCAAGCCACACAAGTTTTAGAGAATTTAAAAATAGTAAGGATGCTATTCTGATATCCTGCAATGTGTCTTGCTAACAAGCTAATATGTTCAGCTGAATAAATTTAAATGCCAGGAGACGAGAAGATTGAAACAAGTAAATTCCAAGTGTCTGGTGCACGGCTAATACAAAACTAAAAGAAAAACATTTTCATATTATGGCTTTAATGAGTGTGAAATTCATGTTAACTGTTTAAAGGAGAGATGAAAGTAAACTTTTACTGAAAAACCAAGGAAAGTTAAAAGTGAAAGAAAGCATTACTGAAAATATTTGAAAGAGCATGCAGGCTCTTTTTCTTCAGCCTCATCACTCATCTTTTTGATGTCTTTTTCTTCTTAGCAAACTTTAGCAGAAATCTTAACTTTTTCACACATTAACAAAGTTTCTCCTTTTTAGAACTGGTATGATCTCATTTAATGGAAAATTGTAACCAGGCAGCTTAGGTGCATTTCTTTTGCGCTAATTATATTAAATATCTCTCTTTGTCTTCAAATTCCTTGTTGTTATTGGAGTAAATCTTTCTAGAAATAAATAACAATAGCCTGTATCCTCCATATTCACTGTTCTGTCCTCACAGAGACTCATTGAAAGCCATGTTTGTCCTTCAACTCAGAGGACCCCTGGGGCAGCACTTGCCTCAGGCAGCCAGTTTGGGTAACTTTTGCACAGTGGGCACCAAAGAAAAGCCAAAGGCCCTCCTGGAATGCAAAATATTATATATATGCTAATTCACACATTATTAAGAAAAATACTGATGATGATAACACAAAGGAACGTCTGACAACAACATGAGCTGTATCATCTAAACCTCGTCTTTTCTTCCAGATGTTTATGTACAAGAGATATTTGGCAACCAGGGTAGCAGAAATTTTATGTCTTCAGCATGTAGTACCACAATTGTTTGAAAGAATGGCAAGGGGAGTACAGTGAACTAAAAATCACCTCCTTATAAATATCATATCCTTACAAATACAAGCTTTAATCACAGCTTTAGCTGAATAGCTGTTTAGTCTAATACACATCCAGTTTTCCCCAGAGCTTTGAAAATATTGTTGTATTCTATGGCCACAGTAATATATGTTGTTTAAGCTGAAATAGGACTTTTTTATTACACGAATAAGACAGTACGATACACACCTATTCCTCTGACTGATGAGTATGGTCACACAGAATAAGCTTCTCTGGAAGAGTCCCCCTAGAAGTAATCTCAGCATTTTCATGAGCCAGTACTTCAAGGGCTGAACTCTAAAAGAGTGAAAGAAAGAATCATGAAAAGGGAACTATTATTTTTTTTCAAGACGGTGTTAGAGCCCTCTACCAAACAAGCTTTACTATTAAGTTTTTCTTGACATAAACATTATCTTGTGCATAATTTCCCTTCAGGCTTGAGGTGATAATTAATGGATTTGGAGAAAAGAAGAAAATAAATGATGTGTGATCTCTTTCTAGTCCCCATTTACGCTATTTCTTTTTATGCACTTTGTCACTGAAAACCTAAAGGTCCACAAGTTTATGGAACCTGACAAGATACATCTGCAGGTCCTGAAGGAACTGGTAGATTAAGTTGTTAAATCATCATCCATCATATTTGAGAAGTCATGGCAGTCTGGTGAAGTTCCCACTGACTGGAAAGGGGAAAACATTATCCTCATTTTTAAGAAGAGAAAAAAGGAAGACCCAGGGAATGAAAGGCCAGTCAGTCTCACCTCTCTGCCCAGCAAGATCATGGAGCAGATCCTCCTGGAAACCATGCTAAGGCACATGGAAATAAGGAAGTGTTTGATGACAGCCAACATGGTTTCATTAAGGGATAATTGTTCCTGGCAATATCTGGGGGCCTTCTGCAAGATGGTTACAGAATTGGTGGATAAGGGAAGAGCAACTGACATCATCAGCCTGGACTTGTGTAAAGCATTTGACACTGTCCTACATGACATCCTTGTCTCTAAACTGGAGAGACATGGATTTGATAGGTGGCCTCCTCAGTGGATAAGAAATTGGCTGGATGGTTGCACTCAACGCATTTCAGTCACTGGTTCGATGTCCAAGAAGAGACCAGTGGGGTTCCTCACGGGTCAGTATTGGGACTGGGGCTGCTCAACATCTTTGTCAGTGACATTGACAGTGGGGTTGAGTGCATCCTCAGCAAGTTTGGGGGTGACACCAAGCTGTGTGGTGCAGTTGACATGCTGGAGGGAAAGGATGCCATCCATAGGGACCTTTACAGGCTGAAGAGGTGAGCCTGTGCCAACCTCATGAAGTTCAACAAGGCGAAGTACAAGATACTGCAAATGGGTCAGGGCAATCCTAAACACAAGTACAGGCTGGGAAGAGAATGGCTTTAGAACAGCCATGAGGAGAAGAACTTGGGAGGGTTTTTTGATGAGAAACTCAACATGAGCCAGCAATGTATGCTTGCAGACATGAAAGCCAACTGTATCCTGGGCTGCATTAAAAGAAGTGAGACCAGCAGGTCAAGGGAGGTGATTCTCCCCCACTAATACACTCTCATGAGACCCCCACCTGGGGTACTGCATCCAGCTCTTGGGCCCACAACACAAGGACATGGACCTTTTGGAGCAAGTCTGAAGGAGACCATAGGATGGTCATAGGCCTGGAGCACCTCTCCTATGCAAAAAGGCTGAGAGAGTTGGGCTTGTTCAGCCTGGAGAAGAGAAGGCTCCGGGGAGACCTTAGAGCACCTTCCAGTACCTAAAGGGGCTACCAGGAAGTTGTGGGGGGACTTTTTACAAGGGTTTGTAGTGACAGGACAAGGGGTAATGGCTTTAAACTGAAAGAGGGTAGGTTTAGATTGGACATGAGGAAAAAATTCTTCCCAGAGAGGGTGGTGAGGCACTAGAACAGGTTGCCCAGAGAAGCTGTGGATGCCCCATCCCTGGAAATGTTCAAGGCCAGGCTGGATGAGGCTTTGAGCAACCTGGTCTAGTGGAGGGTGACCATGGCAGAGGAGGTGGAACTGGATGATATTTGAGGTCCCTTCCAAAGCAAAACATTCTATGATTCGGTGAGCTAGAGAACAAATCCCTATTGTACTGCCACTATAACCTTCTTTTCCAGGGAAAGACCATGCATCTGTATATACCATAGAGCCACACTGCAATATACTTGGCATATACCAAAAAAAAAAGTGATTACTCATCTATTTGAGAAAAGTCTGCAAAACTTAGAGAAGTTAGTAGCAAGAATATTTGCAGGGCTCTCCAGCTGTGCCACTTCAACACACACAATCGAACAAAGTTGGAACATTGTTAGGTTTTGGTTAATGAGTTACAAGAACAATGGTTACCAGTGTATGCTGATTTCATCCCTGTAATATCTTTTCATTTAGATTGATAAGGAGCAGTTTCAAAAAATCCTGGAGCTAATCGAGAGTGGGAAAAAAGAAGGAGCCAAGTTGGAATGTGGAGGAGGTCCATGGGGAGACAAAGGTTACTTCATCCAGCCCACAGTTTTTTCTAATGTTACAGATGATATGCGCATCGCCAAAGAAGAGGTAAGTAAATTCTTGGCAGTCTGTACTCTAACTGATTACTGTCTGTTTAAATGTCTATAAAAAATATCCATCTAGAAGGTCAAGTGGCTACATAAAAACACTCTGAGTAAATCTGTCATTACATCCTGGTGGTGTTTAAAATATTTTTCTTGGCTTTTGATATCCATTTCACCAACACAGTGGAGGTCAGGTAGAGGATTATGAGGCTGGCCTGCCAATAAAGGGTTCAGCTTAAGCTGGCAGTAGATAAATGCTGAGGTTCACACAGTTTACATCACCCCATACTGCCCATGCCTCATTCGCCAGTCACAGTTACCTGTAACACAGAAGCAAACCTTGACGGTACATATTGTAAAACCTCCACTGCCTAGAGTCACTAAAGTTGGAGTTTAGACACAACATGTACCAAGTAGCTATTATGCAATGGTGAAGACAGTTAGATTGTGCTTCCAAGGGCATTTTGTTGGTGGCAATTACAGCAAAGTAGAGTTTTGTCTCTGCAGAGTTGTGTCTATAGACTGCAGAAATAGAGCATGAAAGAAGCTTAACTAACTCAGGTAAGGTGGCAGTGCCCGCACAACAGTGGTTGTCTGCAAGGACTGGGAGAGAGTTAGGAGTACAGACCTGCTATGTCATTGAGAAAAACAGTTTTGTAAACACAGCCACAAACTCATGACCTATTCTCTGTGGGTGTTTTGTTTGTTTGTTTGTTTACATTCATCTTGATTAATAACTGCTGCAATTGTGCTGCAGTTGTGGTCCATTATACTTCTTCACACTGGAAAGCCCTTTCAAAATTGTTAGAAATCTAAGTATTGCTTTATATAGCCAACAATACTGTTGATGCAGTCTGCTGAACATACCTAGTACCTTCAGCAAGGGTCAGCAGTCTGTGTTAACGTGAACACCAAAGCATCTAGAGTTAATTCTGAAGGGGTGAGAGCTGTAAAACGGAGAGAACCATATAAGAAGTAATTTGGATTATTTCTGCCTGTCTGGGAGACAGGTAGTAAACTGCACAGAGGTATATTTCTTCTCAGATCTATTAGTTTCCTTTGGGTCAGCAGTACGAGAACTGCTTCTCTCACACTATTTTGTGTATTGAATAATGAAACCCCGGAGAGCCAAGATAATTTAAAGAATATCCAGGTTCTGAAACTCATGGCTTGAACAGTAGGGGAGCACTCAGTGGTTTTCTGATTTATGTAAATCAAGCCCTGCAACTCTAGTTAGAAATTAGCATTAAACACTTCCCAGGAAAATTAGTGGAAAGCTCACAATCCATGGGAATAGTAGTAGTTAGATGTGGTAATGACCCCTGCCCTGCGAACTCTAGGTACTGTGTGGTGAGCATGGGCACCTCTGGCTGATAACACAGAGCGGTGGTAGTGGGAAAGCCGAGTCTGAGCGACTATTATATCATGCAAACCCCATATGGAAAGCAGAATTAGTTGTTTCGCTTGGTGTATATGACCAGTTGTGCAGCTACCTGCAGAGATAAAAGTCTAATAGAAAGTTTAAGCGAAGAAAAAGTTGAGTGTCTTTCTCAGCTCTGACACTGGATCTTACCAAGAAAATACCAATTCGTTAGTAACCAGTAGAGTTGTGTAACTCCAAGTTAAGTACTTTTACTGTGGGTATTTTTTCATCTTTATTTATTTGTTTTCATAACAACTGATTGATTGATTGATTGATTAATCATTTTAAAATAGGCGACCTTGTTTTGTTCCATGCTACCAAAAAAATTATCTTTATGTGAATTTATAATCCTTTTTAGAACCCTGTTCTGAGATGTACATTCCTGATTGAATAAATTCAGGAATAAGGCCATCTGACAGAAATAAATTTTAAAATATAAATTATTTACAATGGTAAGCTATACCAGTCCAGTTAATTTGTTTACATGTGTCTGAAACAGATATTTGGACCTGTTCAACAAATCATGAAGTTTAAAACTATAGATGAGGTTATTAAGAGGGCAAATAATACTACTTATGGCTTAGCAGCAGCAGTTTTTACCAAAGACATTGATAAAGCACTGACATTTGCAGCTGCTCTTCAGGCTGGAACAGTATGGTAAGTAATGGCTTTTTAAATTCTTCCTTCAGAACTGCAGGTGCCAGTGGCAGTAACTGTAGGGCATTTTAACACTTCTTTGGGTGGTGTGCTTTTATATTTCAATTCCTTTCCATCTTTAGAGAAGTAGAGGATATCCTCTTGTCTCTCTCTTCCCCTCACCTTTCCATACCTTCCACGTTATTAAATAAATATTACTTGTAAGTCTTCACACAACTGGCCTGCAACTTTAGCCTGAAAAAGGAAGTCGACTGGCTAAAATGGAAAGGAGACAAAAGGAAATAGAGTGACAGTGTCATTTCCCTTTACATTCAAGATCTTTCGATAGCCCAATGTGCAAACTTAATTTGCAGGGATTGTTCTCTACTCGGTGTAAAGAATTTAATTATCTGAAGTTTTGTGGCTATTAATCTGGACAGAATATCCTTCTGTGAGGGAAGAGATTGGCAAAATGTGCTTGAAAAAAGGAAGGAAACGCAAGTGAGGGAGAACTGCTGTAAGTACAAAGACAACTATTTCCATAGAATAGCAGACTGAGTCTAATCACTGTCACTGACAGAGACCTGCATTTCCCAAAGGTATCAGAAAGAGAACAATTTTACTTGAACACAAAACTTGTGTCCAATTTACATTTTATTTGAAGAACTTGCAACCCACACAAATTCCTGCCCAGGTCTTCTGACCTAAAAATATACACTTTCTAAAAACAAGTTAACAGCTTTCCCTTAGGACTTCATGTTCTTTAAATGCATGAAAATTTAAAGTAAAAGTGGAATCTTTGTTTTTCACACTTACGTGATTGCTGACCTAGGAATCCTTAAGTATGAGCAGAACCTCTTTTGTTGAAACAAGTGGACTGGCAGCAGGAGAAATTATGATATGAAAATAGAGAATCTCTGATCTACAATGTTGGAAGACAAAAAGAGATTCTCAGCTAGGGATCCAGCTAGGGATGCCAATCTGGCAAAACTCTTCATATTACAAATTCCCCAGTGAAACTTCTTTCTTACTCATTATTATATTTTTGTTCTCAATCATAATACAGAATATAGTTTAACATTGATTAGAACCAAACAAAACTTCCTAAATATATACAGAAGTAATCCTGAACTTACCTATTGGAAGCATACCTGCAGAAGACTTAACTGTCCTTGGTTTGAGAGCTTGTGCACTGGTTAGGAAGGAATTTTATCCTAACTATCAGAGAAAGATATGACTGTCTTCTTGAAGGCCCTTGGCGAATGTTAGAGCCCTGATCATTAGTTTCTCATAATTCTTTTTTTCTCTGACCCTTTAACTACACATATTTGAAATATATTACTCAGATATAGTTTGTGATTGGTTTTTCACAGTCAAATGAAAACCACCGATTTTTTCAGAAGAGAAAATAGTTGTTTGAAACCATCAAAACTAATTTTCCTGTTCTTCCAGGGTTAACTGTTATAGTGCAATGTCTGCTCAGTGTCCTTTTGGAGGTTTTAAGATGTCAGGAAATGGAAGAGAAATGTAAGTAAATACTTTTTAAAATCTAGATTCACAGGAACTGCAAAATGAAATTCCAAAACTCAACTTTGAATTTTGTCAAATCAGTCTATATAGTGTTTAGAAGCTTCCTGTTGTCAGAGACAATGTCAAGCAAAGACCCTAAGAAAATTCCTTAGACTCACACTTCTTTAAAATGACCATTTTTAGTGGCTCACACTCTACTGATATGCAAAAGAGAAAATTGTTTTTATGGTTTACAGGTTTTGCACATATATAGAAAGTGTCTTTTACATGAAGATACAGATGTGAGTAGTTTGTAGAATCTCCTTTAAATGCCAGATTTTTGAAAACACAGGACATTTCAGAATCTTTGATTTAAACAAGACTTTTCAGTTTAAAAGACATGTGACAACAAAGTTTTTACAGCAGGTTCCAGCTTGGTCAAAAGTTATGACAAAAAAAACCTCTTCTGTAGTATTTGTACCATTGGTCATTTCCCAAACTAGAAGTAGGGTATACAGAAATTATAAACTAATTAAATTCTATCAAAATTTTAGGTTTTACTCCACTTTCAATTTGAATCATGTGCTGTCTTACCTGTAAATGAAATTCCCTGCATAATTATTGAGATGATAATATCATTATGAATTAAATCACTGAATATCACATACTAACAGAATGCCTGCTGAAAAATGAAGAGAATCAGTAAATATTTTCCCATGGCACAAGACTCCTGAGCACAGATTTCTGTTTTGCATACATGTGTATCCGGTAGGATGGCAGTGAGAACTGGATAACATTATACTGTAGCAAACCCTTGCTCTACAAAACAATCCATCATGTCTAACTAGTTTGACTGAGTCAGATGTCACACATCTATGCAGACAAGCCAGCTTCATCTCATCATGTAAAACGTAAAGGTGGAATCATGCTAATAACATGTCAGTAATATTTAAGTAGTTTTCACTGTCGGGGAGACTTTATAGTAGATTCATTATGTCCCCTATTTATTTGACATGAATCGTCTATATTCTTTGACTCTGGAGAAAACTCAGCATCAGAGGAAGGCCTTCACAAATAACCTGTTGAGCATGCTTGTGAAGACCTAACGTATGCCTGATCTGCTGCACAGAAACCCAGTTTAGAAATGTACTAAACTGATAAAATGCCATTCTTTTGCACAGAAATGAAATTGATCTCTCTCACGCCTTTCTCGGGAGACAGTTGCTGTAACTTTTCAAAAGGCTTCCAGCAGCAGTCCAGCTGCACAGATGTCTTCTGAATATGTCCAGTATACATCTGGCCAATTGCACAGCCCCACCGAAAATCCCATCCAGGACATAACTAATATAAAAAGCATTAGCTTAAATATTGCTCTTGGTTCTCTTTTATCTAGGGGAGAATATGGCCTTCATGAATACACGGAAGTTAAGACTGTCACAATCAAAATCCCACAGAAGAACTCATAATGCTGCTTGAGGTGCAGAATTTAGCATCTTCAAATGAATCTGAAAAGGTTATCTGGTTTCTGAAAAGTTTTATATCCCAAATTATTCATTAACCTTCTTGTTTTCTGATTGTATAAGAGGTACTTGCTTACATTAACAATATAAAGAATAATGTAGAAAATTTTAATGTGACTAACTGAGAAAAGGAAAATTTAGTGTCTGGTACATAGCTAATATTGAAATTCATGTTCTGAAAGAACGATTTTTTATTTTCAGTGGAAGGTCTCTGTAGTGCTATGAAAATGTTCCTTTTTCAATATATCCTGTAGGTACAGTTAGAATTTATGTCCTCTTCTAAATGTTAGATGGCAAGCTCTCTCTGCATCTTCTTTTCTTTGTGGCCTTAACAAAAGCACTTATGAGTAATCAGCAGATAGTTACTTTTCTGTGTCTTTCAAAAATAATAGACTTCTAGAGATATTTCTTAGATTACTGAGTTCGTGCATCGTATTACACAAATGTAATCTGATAATATTAAACAATATTAAAATCCACCTTCAAAAGCTAATGTTGCTCCTTTCATCAGTCTTTTCTATTACACTGGTTTACCCCTGGGCACTGTGTAGCACATACTTAAATCTTTAAAGAGGCACTACCATGTCAATGGTGTGTTTAGGTATACTATATTGGTTATATGGAGACTAAAGTCCCTAATTCTTTGACAGTAAGAATTTTACCTTACGACTCTTCTCTGGATGTTTTTTTTTATTAAGTTAAGAACTATACATAAGACCTGTGGTAGAGGTATATCTCTTCACAGGCCTCTATATTATCTGTTCTTGAAAGGTGTCAATTCCAAATCCCATACATCCGCCCTTCTGAAATAATTCCATTAGCCATGTCTGTCAAACAAACCCAATCCTAGTCCCAGAGAAAAAAGTTACAAAACAGTAGAAGGAAAAGATGGAAGAGTGAATCAAAAGTAAACATGTATTGTAACATAATTAGCATGTAGTATTAAAGAAAATCTATATAAAATGAAATATTAAATATTTAAAAAGAGATGAAAAGCTGATGTATATCAGGTATGGGTCTTCATAAATATTTACTGTCCGAATTCTGCCTTTACGAAAGTCAATGGTAGAAGTCTCAAAGGAGGATAAACAAGCCAAATGACAGAATTTTCTTTTTGGTTTACCTCAGGAATGCACTTCTGAAATCATATTCAGGATCATCCCCACTCACCTTCTTTGGTTCATGTGAAGGGTGCTATTTCAATGGCACTAAGCCAATAAGATGCACACTTGGCCTGTGTCTGGTATGATCCAACCACTAAGAACCATTAATCTCTTAGAAGCAGACTAGGCCTAGTCTGAAGCAACTCCACTCTGAACATGTACTATGTGGGAGGTTGGGTTTTATCTCCTTATAGTGGTCTCTGGCAACATAGGATGGCAAATACAGTCCTACCAGACTATACTGCCTGCTACTGCAATCACAAGCAAAGAATGACTTTGAAATATAACCCAAGAAAAGGGAAAACCCATCACAAAGAGAGGAGTCTAGGAGAAGGATCAACTTGACCCTTGCATGAATATATGTATTTTTATTTACAATGACTAAAATATTTTCATGTTCTCAGCAATACAGAAAACTTATTTTAGTTCCTGTTTGACACACTCTTACTTACAGTTAAAGAAAGATGGTGATAGTCTTGTTTTGTTGATTTAAATGTTTCAATGTGATCAGAAGGTTGGAGCACCTCTC